TGTCCAGTGGGGGGGGAGGGCGCGGATCTGCTTCCCCTTGGGGCCCGGGCTCTGAACCCGCCTTTCCCCTCAGCCTGGGCCCGGGCCCTGGTGTTCAAAACGGCCCCTCCCCCGCATTCTGGGCGGAAGCGCCTTTCCCTCCCCTAAAATCACTGCTCTTCCCTGGCCCGTGGACTTGGGGAGGGTGTTAAAGCCTCCCCCCTCCCCTCCGTTCCCCCGCTTTCCCGTGGGCGCAGAGCTGCGTGTGCTCGTTCCTTTGAGCGATGGCATATGGCCCCGGGCCTGTGCCTTACACCGCTGCTGGGGCCCCAGGAGGTAGGTAGAGGCACTGAACCAGGTGCTGGGGAAAGGGAGACCATCCCTGTAGTGGGACCTCCACAGCTGAGCCCGATCCAGTATTTACAGGCATGGCTATTCAAATACAAATCACTAGGACACTGCAAGGCTTCATAAACTCTCCCCCCTCCCCCGTTTGAAAATGGTTTCATATAGACAGCAAATGGATGTCCCTTTAATGGTCTAGGTGACAAAACGTCCACAAGGCTGCACCCCCACATCAGAGATGGGCAACCTAAGTTAGTGAGTGGGCCACACGAGTGGCCCTTCGTCATCTCACTGGGCCACATGATTGTTGTAACCAAGACAGTCTCCTGGGATAGGGTAGTTTTGGTAACTACGCTTGCATGCCTGGAATTTTCTGGTGTGCCGACTGAACCTTAGCGGCGCTTTGATTGGATGCAGAGGGAACGCATGGCTTTTACAGTCAGTGTTGTGTGCAGTCAGTATGCACCTCGCTTCATGTGCCCTTGCCTTAAGTGCGTGTCACTTTAGTAATACCTGAAAGGAAAAAACTATGTAGACAGAAATGGCTGCGTCTAGATTGGCATGATTTTCCGGAAATGCTTTTAACGGAAAAGTTTTCCGTTAAAAGCATCTGCTCCCATTCGGGCAAAAGTCTTTTTCCGAAAGACTTTTGCGCAAAAGGGCCAGTGTAGACAGCAGAGATTTCTTTTCCGCAAAAAAGCCCCGATCACCATTTTCGCGATCGGTGCTTTTTTGCGGAAAACAAATCTGAGCTGTCCACACCGGCGCTTTTGCACAAAAGCTTTATGCAAAAGGGACTTTTGCCTGAATGGGAGCAGAATAGTATTTCCGCAAGAAGCACTGATTTCTTACAGTAGGAAGTCAGTGCTTTTGCGGAAATTCAAGCGGCCAGTGTAGACAGCTGGCAAGTTTTTCCAGAAAAGCGGCTGATTTTCCAGTAAATCTGGCCAGTGTAGACATAGCCAAATCAGCAGAATCTGTCAACCTTGCAGATGAGCAACAGTAAAAGTGTTTTGTAGGCCACACATAGAACCCCAATGGGTTAAGTGTTGCCCTCTGGCCAGAGGTTGCCCACCAGTGCCCTACACTGAACAGCTTTATAGACATATACAGCTTGACTTTGTTGCCATGCATGTGTAAAAGAGTGTAAAGGAAGACCGCTGCAGGTCTTTAGGCCGCAAACTTACCCTGCCATAAAGTTACTAGTGCTTTTTGAAACTCTTCTGCAAGCCATGACGTTTCACTAACTCTGACTACCACCATATGGTGTGTCTACCTATTGCATCATTGAAAAGGCCAAATTACTGAATTATGGACAGGTGAAAAAGAGACAGCCTGGCAGCTAGGTAGTTGTAAGCTCCAAGCCTAGAATCTGATCCTTACGTTGGACAGTTCACTTAGCCTGCCTCTCTCTCTTCATCTTTAGGACAGGGAAAATAGTGTTTTTCTGCCCCTCAGGAGGGCTGAGGATTAATTAGCTAATGCTTTGGAGATAAAAAATGTTGAGTACTATTGCTAGTACCGATAGTGATATCAGCAGTAAACCTCTCTGTTCTTTTTCCAACCGTGACTTGAATACCTGTAATCGCCACGGTGCATGGAGTCTTGCTTTCTGCAGCAAGTGGCTGCCTCAAATGAGGTAGCTTTAAGGTCTATTGAATACTGTTATGCACGTCACAATTTGATTTGTTTTGTTTTCTGTCTCTGCTCTTAGGGGAGAGGAATGCTGAAGAAGCAAGTGTCCTCTATTCAAACAGAGCTGCCTGCTACTTGAAAGATGGAAATTGTAGTCTCTGTGTTAAGGACTGTTCAGTGTAAGTGTAACCCACACACCTAGTGTGGTTCATTGTTGCACATGGTGACACTTAGACCACTTACAGCAAGAGATAAGAACAAGGGAGCTCCACAGCCTGAGCTGAGCGCCAGTTGGCTTTATAGCTCAAGCTGTAAAGGCTCCTACACTAATGGTCCCAGGTTCATACTGCCCAGTGGCAGTTAAATAAGCATCTTCTATCTAGAGATAGAGACAGGATTGAATATAGAATTTGCTATATATGTACCCTGTTATGCAGTGATGATATTCTGTCCTGATATAAGGAAATGAATCTTTTTTAGTTTCTCTTTTACTCCATTATGAATATTTTACTCTGTTGGGGTCAAGTATAGGCAGATTCTGCTCTCAGTTATATTGGTATGAATCTGTATTTGCATAGGTGTAATTGAGAACTAGATTTGGCCCATACTTTTTGAAGAATTAGGTCAAGGATTTTGGTCACTCCCCACTCCAAATGCCTCTTTCCCAAACACTTGGAATGTGGTATGACAGAGACTTGTTCCTCAGTAAGAGGCAAATTTAAGACTACGGCTATGAGATCCTAGACACACCTGGAAAAGGCCTCATAGCTCATCTAGGTTATGCCTTCACTGTGTCCACAAAAAAAGTGTTGCTAACCTGAGTTAACTCTGGTTTAAAATAGCAATGATTACACAATAACTTGACATAACCCTAATCTGCCCTCCATCTCTTTTGGAAAACTGTAGCCAGATGCTCTTACCTTTAGGGAACAATTAAGTCTGTATAGCACCAACAGCATGTTACATATACACTCAGCTCTGAAGACAAAGGTTCTGTCTTAAACAGCTTACTACCCCAACTAGTGCAGTGGGATTCTGTGGTTGCCGTATCACTATTTCTTTATCCGTCTTGGAAATCGAAACTTTGAAGTGGAGGGGTAGCCATGTTGGTTCCAGGATATTGGAGAGACTAGGACCAACTTCTGCTAGTGACAATGATGAGCTTTCAAGCTACACAGAGCTCTTCTTAAAGTATTAGAAAGGTATTCTGAGTGTCACAGCTAAATACAAGGTGGTACAGATTAAGCATAAATAGCACATAATATGTATTAATTACACTTCTGCAGTGTACTAACTACACCTATGTGTAGCTCAAAAGCTTGTCTCTTTCACCACAGAATTTGGTCCAGTAAAAGATATTACAGCACCCAACTTGTTTCTCTAAGCTTAAAATATGACAGGTGAGCTGTTTCTCCTCCCCTTCCCCCCCCCCAATACATTATTCTGGTGTGGATTGGTTAAGAGCCTTCTGCCTATCCTAGTATGTTTCATAAGCAATCAAATGGATAGGAATAAATTTTAAAACAAGTTTTAATGCTAATGGAATTATTTTAAGTATGGAGAACCTACCTATTGCAGCAAGGAATGAACCATTAATTCTATTTGGAGCAGTGTTCTGGATAGCATAACCTTTCTTCTTTACTAAACAGGTTTTAGCCTTTTTTTATTAGACAGTCCCTCAAATTGGTGTTTGTGATTGTCATTGGGAGAGAAGATTAATATTTTCTTTCTTTAACCACTAGTTACGTTATCACAGGAATGAGAGATGAAAAAATTCACCAAAGTACCCACTTCTGCAGCATTTGTTCCCTACGTGGAGGAATCTGATATTAAATAATTGACTTTCTGACTACCTCTCTGATTAATTTAGCTCAGGTGGCCCAATGAGCTGTGTTGCTTTCTCCCCACTGATCTAGTGCATTGGACCTGGTCCCTTTTGGAATCAAACCCCTACTGAGGCGGGCAGCAGGCTATGAAGCTCTGGAGAGATACCAGTTGGCCTATGTGGACTACAAGACTATTTTACAAGTTGATTGCACTGTACCAGCTGCGCATGATGGTGTCAACAGGTAACTCCTAACTCCATATAGTTATGCAGATCAGAATTGAATGTACAGTAAGTACTCGTTTAACATGTGCCCACTTAACAAGTTTTCGCAATAGCACGATTTTTTGGGGAATGTTTTTCGAATAACACGTCCATCTTCGAAATAACACGAAAATAATCAAGTGGCAGACTACTTTGCGCGGCAGTATAAGTTGGTGAAAACGGTGGTAATATGCATGAGCGGATGAATACACGTGGTCACAGCGCTCCTCTGCTAACTCCACTTTGTGTTTTAACAGACCGCGGCAACTTGTGTTGCTAGGTATCTAATGTTGACGTTGACAACCAGCACTAACAAAAAATTGATTTTGCCACCACCACCTGAAATGCAACCCCCATCTTTTCCATTATCTTTAATGGGAAAATTGACCCCGCATATCACATTTTTGCTTAGCACGAACATTTTCAGAAACACATCTAAGGTGTTAAATGAGGAATTACTGTACAGCAGATCTCATTCAGTTGCCTCTGCAAATCCAGCTCCACATTACAAGGAGCAGGTTGGGTGCATTGGAATGCTTTTTAAATACAGAGATCCAGTTGTTGTGTGATCTAACATCTCTTCTGTGGTGTGAGCTCTTTGGTAATATTTGCTGCCAGCTCTATAAATGCCTGTTCCCATCAAGTTGCTACTTCCTTCTATTATAGCTAAGAAATAACTCCATTTGGCCATGCAACTCTTCAAATTGCCACCTGAAGTCTCCTTGGCACCTTTCTGTTCCCAAGAGGGCTGAGAATAGTTTGTATAGACACAGTGGCTTCAAAGTAGGAATAAGAGATCCTCCGGAATAGGGCTTTATTCCGGAGGATCGGGCCAGTCTAGACGCTTTTTTTCCGGCTTTTCCCCAAGCCGGAAAAAAGCAGCGGACATGTTTATTTAAATCCGCGGGGGATATTTAAATCCCCCGCGGATTTCCCTATTCCCACTTTCAAAATTAGCATGCCCCTTCCGAAAAAGGGGCCAGTGTAGACGTAGCCAGTGTGTTCTACAAAACTAGTTTTGTGATGAGCAAACAGCATCTGAACCTCTGTGCCACTCCATGTTTTCTTATGTTTCAATGCACTGGTGAATTCTAGTGAATTCCTAGCTCCCTTCCTATATTTTCTCGATATCGACAATGCCAAAAGCAGGAAGAGACTTCTTTCACTGAAACCCTTTGTGTATGAAGAGCTTAGTTTTACTTTTCACAAAAGAGAAAGAGAAACTTTCCTTGGCACCTGAGCTGACAGAAATTGGAAAAGGGGACCTGGACAAGAAATATGGAGAATATGTAGAGACTGAAGGTTGTTTTAGATGCATTTTAAGTTTATTGCAAAAAAAAGTATATAACATTAGCTTATAAACTGCTGTTTGTGGTAACTGGATAGTCTTTTTTTTTTTTAAAGCCTCCTTTCTGAATGGCATTTCAGGCACAGATGTTCTGTTTATCTACTCATTGCCCCAGATAGCCAGATCTCCTCATGAAGAAGCATGGCCTTGTGGTTCAGATTCAGGACTGAGTCAGGAGGTCAAGATTCCAGTCCTGGCTCTGCTACCAATTCACTGTGTGAAGACATGGGTGTACAAGAGGCTTAAGTCACTAAATATTTGAACTACTCAAAGACAAACACTAAAACAACAGTTTTCCTACCGAAAAGGCACTTTTTCCTGGCTGCACGCAGTTAGCAGGGCTGCATGCACAGTGGTTGCAATAATTGCTCGGTTAGGTGGCCTGCTCTGTCAGCAGACTTGGAAGCTGCATAGACTATATCTCTATTTCCAGAATGACAAAAGTCCTGTTGGAGAAGGATGGCCTCGAGTGGCGCCAGAAGCTCCCACCAATCCCTTCAGTTCCTCTTTCTGCTCAGCGAAGATGGGACTTACCTTCTGCAGGAAGCCAGGAGGCTGCCAGAAAACACAAACCTAATGAAACTACATCTGTAGAAAAACATGGTGAGCCTTTCCCACATTTAGCTAGCACATGGAATTGTGGGACTAAGACAGGACAGGAAAGTACAAGGCATCTGCTAAACTTGGCTGGGTCCTTAAGGCATTGGCCTTGATCTCAGGAAATGTAGTCTCAGTTCCTGGCTCTGCCACAGACTCCCTGTGTGACTTTGGCCAATTCTCTGTCTCTACAATGGGGATAATATAATACATTCTTCCACCATTTGTCCATAATGGTAAGCTCTTTAAGGCAAAGCCTGTCTCGTACAGTGGGGTATTATTCTTGTATGGTATATGTAAACTTTAGTATAGGGTGGGGAGCCTCTGGCCCACAGGCTACATATGCTTCATCAGATTTAGCTGCTAGTGGGTTCCCAGGTGATGTGGTTCAACATTTCTGGACAATGGAAGCTGTGGGTCGCAGTAGCCTGGGATGCAGGTTCCCCGTCCCTGCTTTAGTATCTACTGTATATTTGAGAGAGTCCATCTCTTTGTTCAAGAACTCAAACAGTGAGAGCTAGGACCACCACATTCAGTATACAGCTTCCTCTTCTAACTTAAAGCAAGGTAAGGGTTTGGTTGTGTGGGAAAATGGAAAGCTCCTGGCATAGGATTGATTCTCATAAAACCATACTGAAAAGAGACAGAATCACCAAGCAGGTGAAAGGGACTGGCTGGGAGTGTGCCTTCCGCCCCCATCCTCATATGAGACTGCACCAGGCCTGAATCTCCTACTCTAAGGCACCCTTTAGGAAGGGCGGGGGGGAACCTGAAGCTCCCCTGCCCCTTCCCTCCCCCCCACCCCATTTGCTGGCAGCTCCCCTTTGTCAGGAAGTATGGGGGAAGTTCACAGTTCAGTTTTTTTGCATTCCTGGTTGGGGAGCGCAGGGGGCAGAAGAACCTGGACCTGCCCCAGATGGGGGACATACACCCCTCTTCTGGCTGTGCTTGCTGGAGCTGCCTCAGCCATGGAGAGGCGCTTCTCACCTGGCCCCAAGATGCTATGGTGAGAGAGGCCTGGGGTAGTCTTCTCTCCTTGGGGCAGCCTGCATGATGACCCCTTCATCCACGGCCCCACCCCAGAGCAATGATTTAAATTAAGCATGTACATTTTAATTTTATTTTCCAAAAAACAAAAATTAATGGAGTTAAGGACCCAAGCAACACTAGGTAAATCTTGTAGTAATACATATAATAAATACTAAAAAGCCAGTTACTCCATTCTGTATCCTGTTGCTGACCAGTCATCCCCTCAGGATTCTTAAACTCTGCTGAACAAGGAATGAAAGTTTTAATCGCTGAATTTTATCAGATGTGTGATTCTATAGCCAACTCCTCCTCCTGTGGCCTCTATTCCTTCAGGCACATCTAGCCATTTCATTCTCAGTGAAGCTGTGGTGCCCAGATATTTAGGTAGGTTTCTGTCCAAAGATAATCTTCCCACAGTGCAGGTCTTCGGGAGAATTCAGGCTTTTCTGTGGTTACTTAGGTTTTCATACTTAAAAAGCTCTAATTTTTATTAACTGTATTGATCAGTCATTAACACGTGACTGCTCAGCTCTTTTTTATATAGCACTATGTTCTCTTAAATACAACTTCCAGTGCCTACTGCTGCTATGATTGAAAGAGCAAAAACTCTGAAGCAAGAAGGAAATGAACTTGTGAAGACAGGGAACCATAAAAAAGCTATTGAAAAGTACAGCGAGAGTCTAAAACTCTGTAATCGGGAAAGTGCGATATACACCAACAGGTAAAGTACAAGCACCTGTTTACTTTATTTCCCTTTGGGGCACTCCTTAAATAACTGCAGTAACCTCTTTCCAAATTGGGACCCAATCCTGTTCTCTCATGCTCATACACAGCTCCCACTTACATGAATGGGAGCTTTGTGCATGCATAATGGGTAGAGTTTTTCCTTTAACATCGATCAGTGTTGGTCTCTGATCAGAATACATAGCTTTGTGTATAATGTGTATGGGAGATTAGGGGAAGTATTTTCTCTGCATAACCTATGTTTGCTCTGCAAGTAGGGATGCCTTTATTTTCCAAAGTGGCTTTCAGGAGCCTGTATGGAAATTCAAAGTTTAAATTGTTAAGTTTTGTTTTTCTTTTCTAATCTTTGGTTCTGCTAAGAATGTCCTGGTTTTGGTGATACAATGACTTATCTGAAACCTCTGTTACTTGTGGTGAATTTGAAGGCAGCTAGAGAGGATTTTCCAGGACAGTATAACCGTAGAAACTCTTAAAATGACAGCTGAGGAATGAAAACAATTGAGAAAAATATTAATTCTTGCAGATTTGTGGAGCTATTATTTTCTTCTCCTTTTTATCCAAAATAAATACTGAGCTGAGGAAATGAAAAGATTTTTAGTAGTTAGTAGAATTAACTAAATTTATAGAGAAGTTTTAAAAAATATATGATTAAAGGGCAGCTTGTGACTGGGAAGAGGTTGAGACGAGGTCTTCTTTGGGTACATGTATGCTGCACATATGATTTGCCTTGCCTTGGTTTAAAAAATCCTATCAGTCATTGCAGGGTTTGTACAGTGACTCTGTCCAAGAAAGAAACTTAGCTGAGATTGAATATAGTGCCCCAAAGCAGGGGTCATTGTAGCTGACTACTTGTTGCCTGAAACATTTAATCAACATTGTCTTATGCCAGAGCTCTTTGTTACCTGTCTCTGAAGCAGTACAAGGAAGCAATACAAGACTGCACAGATGCTCTGGGGTTAGATGCTAAAAATATTAAGGCATTTTACAGACGCGCTCAAGCATTTAAAGAACTAAAGGTAAGTGCAAAGGAGTTTCAGACCCCTTTCAGGACTGCAGTAGAGCAGCTGCATTCTCACAGGCATCACAGAATCTTGAAATCACAACTGTGGAACTTCCATAGACCATTTATAATGCACTTTTTGGGAAATAACTATAAATTTACTACCTAATTATCCTAAGGTCTGGCACATAATGAAGGAAGATTCCTAGTTCTTTCACTGTCTGACAGCTGTATAGATATGTGCAAATCTGTTTGGGAGAACAGAGAGACCTGAATCAGGGTGTTTGCCCTTTTAAAATGGTCCTGCAAGTCATGTTTTCTGGAAATAATGCTTGTTTTACTTTAATTAAGTCATTAGCAGCTACCTTCACCTTCCTGTGGATTTGTCATTTGCTAGCTTCAGGTCTCTTGCTGCATTGAGTTGCCTGAAATTCCTGGGACCAGCTAGATCCTGTGTGTGGGATTGAAAATGCCTATAGAATTTATTAACTTTTTTGGGGGGGCAAATAGCTGTAGTTTAAGATTTAGGCTAATAGTGGGGTTCTACAATATTTCATCAGTTAATGCAGCTGGAGTTAAATGATCTGTAATCTAGGTATAATATTAGAATAATTGTGTGACTGGAGGAAGTTAATGCATGAGTGTCCCCTCCAGAGTGCATTTGCCATATAAACAAAGTGCCTTTCTAGTCCCCAGTTCACGTGCATTATAAAACAGCTATGCTGTTGTCAGTCTCTTCTGTAAGAAGCACATGTGAAGTAAAAGAGGCTATGGCAGGTAGTTACACAGCACGTGTACTGGTAAGAACCATTTACTATTGGGCTAGTTCTTCAGTGTGTGAAGGCCAACCTTAAAAAATGTTAGCATTTTCAGTGTTTTAAAAATGCGTTTTGCTTCTAGGATTACAAATCAAGCATGGCCGACATTACCAGCCTTCTGAAAATTGAACCAAAGAACACAGCTGCACAGAAGCTACTGCAAGAACTGAACAAGAACTTAAAATAAAAAGCAGAATTAAATCTGTCTGCTCTTTACTGCAGAAGACAGGCTTTCCTTTTAATACTCATGCAGGGGCCAACACCGTACGGCCAGCTCTGAAATCTACCATCCTGATTTGCTGAGTAGTAGCTAGTTCTCTACTGCTTAATTACATGTACATTACCAGTTTTCATAATAATGATACATGCTATCTCCCTGTAAGATCTTTAAAGGTTTTAAATAACCCTGTCTTTGAAAAGCATTCATCTTAATTTCCTTGATATAAGGGAATTGTTTGTAACTGTATTATTTAAATTAATCTGTTTGCAAAGATGGGTAAAGGGGATAGGACTCCTCCTCTTTTGGCTGAGGCATGTCTTCAAGAGCAGTAAATTGCATTTATGTATATGTATTGCAGTTGGAGAGAAGCAGATCTATTGTGTATAGTGGGGCTGCTTACTTAAGCAAGCCACTTACAAGGGCTGCTGCATGAGAAACTAAAGGCAGGGTTTCCCTAGTAAAGTTCAACTCCTTTAAATATGAGTGAGACCTCAACATGAATAAATGGCTCAGGTGTTTCCTCTTTTAGCTGGTGCCTACTGGCCTAAAGAAGCTTTTGTTTAGAATAACTGTTCAGAAGCTTGTGGCTTCTTCTATATCGCTCTTCTTCACCAAAATAGCTACCCACTCTTTAAAATTGCCTCGATACTGTATTTGTGGGCTGTCTTTAATGCACTGCAGAAGTTTGGGTCCCAAGTGCTTTGAACCCTCAGAGCTACTTTCTAAATAATGTTTTAGCTTTGGTTTATGTCTCAGTGACCAGCTGCTATTACTACTATTACAGGCAAGAGGCTGTATAATAGTTCTTCACAGGGGCCTCATGTGAGGTACCATCTTCCTCCATCAGAGACTTACAAGCATGTTATATTCTGATTCTTCCCAGCTGATGGTGGTAATGAAGTTATTTGTTAATACTGAGACTGAAATAGATACGATTTGTTTGGCAAAGCTACTGTATGAACAATGCAACTCCTATTAAAAAGCCAGCATATGTTACAGCTGTATGTTATTAGAATTGGGTATTTAACACTGGGCTTTGTGCATATGTTGCTACCATAATTGTTGCTGGTGGCAGGCAAGACTTTAATCTTTTGCCAGTATAAAGTACTATTTCCTGTGTCCTTATGGTCTAAGAGCACCCACTGTGTAATGGAACTACAGAGATATTTATATACTGATAAAAACACAGCTGTTTTCCAAACTTCTATCTAGGTGTATGCTTAGGTTGTTGGATTGTTGCATCCAGCAGAACAACAGTCTTGCAGCATAGCTCCAGTGAGAAACAGAAGTGCTGACAAATCCTAACTGGAGATGTTTTCAGGACACTTACTACCAGCAAGTGTTGACTACTCACACTGAAGTACATGGAGTCTGCTCTTCCCACCTATCATTCCTCCTGCAAGATGAGTGAATGTTGGTTTTATTTCCACTTCTAATCTCTAGTAGGGTTGGGAATGTTACTGGTTAGCCAGTGGGGGGCTGGAGCAGCCCTGTAGGGCCTGCTGCAGCTGGAAAAGGGGAGTGCTCTAGCCTGCTCCGTGCAGCCCCTGTCTGGTGTGGGAGGAGGACTACCCCACCCCATCTGCAGGAGAGCAACAGGTTAATTAAACAGGATTTTATATCCCTACTCAGGACAGCTCAATATTTTTGAATTCAGGAATTATACAATGCCCTCACGATGTTAATGTAGCAAATAGCTTTTTTCTCAGCAAAGAAAGTGTGTGTTCACTTCACAGCCACACAGCTGTACTGTAACACTTCACCTTTTATTGTAAAATCTGTTTACCTTTGCAGCTGCAGAAAAAACCCTCAAACCATGAATTGCATGCAGTGATGTCTACAGCAAGCCTAGACCTGTAGGTCCAAGATTCCATGGACTCTTTATGACATAGCTATACTACAGCAGGCCCCCGATTTACGACCCCCCACACTTATGACCTTTTCTGTAAGTGCAGAAGGGGCTGAAATCCCGACTTGTGTCCTCAGCCCCGCATTTACGATGGCGTACAACGTAGAGACTCGAGTTACGACGCCCCCCCCCAACTTGACACTATCTCCAGGACAGATCATGTTACAAGTCAGAGGCAGCCAATATGAGCCATTCTGCTGCACACAGACAGGTATCTATTAGGTTTCATCTTTGTGTTGCCAGGTCCTGCCTGCAGTCTGCCTCTTCAGTCTTCCTCAAAAGAGAGAGCTGAGTGGAAGACAGCATCTTGTCCCTCTGCTAGCCCATGGAGCCAGGTAGCAGGGAATCAGTTAAGTAGTGTAGGAGGCTGGTTAGTGGTACTGCCTCAGAAATGCTAGGGGCTTGACTTAGTAATCTCCCAGTCTGGTATGGTGAGAGACCAGGGGCTATCCTCTCTCCTGGGGCAACCTGCATACTAAACCCCTCAGGCCCGCCCCTCCCAGAGCAATGATTTAAAAGCAAGCGTGTACATTTTCATTTTATTATCCAAAACATAAAAATTCAATTAAGGACCAGAGCAACACCAGGCAAAGTGTCTAAATTATAAATCAACTAATATAAATAGCATAGTTACATTTCAGTATATAGAGCATCACAAACAAGTCATTGAAATCTGAATTTGTACTGACTTCAGCAGTGCTTTCTATGTAGCCTGTTGTAAAACTAGGCAAATATCAAGCTGTGCTAATGTACCCCTGAGGAGACTTCTCAACCAGGAACATACATACCGCTGAGGATATGCACAATCACTACTGCCCTAAGCCATTAATACTTGGATAGTAATAGGCCCATGAATACCATCTAACATTGAAATACACTGTCTCCGTCCTAAAGTGGAAATGTTTAGATGGGAAGTATCAGGCAGTTGAAAGTGAAAAACCTCATCTTTCTGTTATAGAGCCTAAGTTGTAAATACAGATATGCTTAGAGTGAGCACAGGGCACTCAGGTAGTAGTTTCACAAAGTAACCACAGGAACCCATGTCTACACTCCTGGCTATTCTTGGGCAAGAATCTGCAGAGCATCCACACTGCCCACCCATTCTTGCGCAAGGAAATTTACAGTACAGTGTGGTGAGGGCTTCTTGCGCAAGCGCTACACTTATCGGCTACGTCTACACTGGCCCCTTCTCCGAAAGGGGCATGCTAATTTTACAGGTTGTAATAGGGAAATCCGCGGGGGATTTAAATATCCCCCGCGGCATTTAAATAAAAATGTCCACCGCTTTTTTCCGGCTTTTAGAAAAGCCGGAAAAGAGCGTCTACACTGGCCCCGATCCTCCGGAAAAAAGCCCTTTTCCGGAGGATCTCTTATTTCTACTTCAAAGTACATTTTTATTGTACTAGTTATTGCCCATGAAGATTCACTAGTGAACTCAGTTACATAAAAATTAAATTACGTTGAAAAATGTTAAGGTTGCAGAGTCAAGTACTCAAAACTAGGCTACTGCAGAATTAAGGTTGACAGTACAACTTTACCCTTGCATTTTGTATTATTAGTCAATTATTTGATCACATCTCTCTCCACCCTCTCCATCTTCAAAGTAGGAATAAGAGATCCTCCGGACGGAAAAAAGCGGCGGACATTTTTATTTAAATGCCGCGGGGGATATTTAAATCCCCTGCGGATTTCCCTATTACGACCTGTAAAATTAGCATGCCCCTTTCGGAAAAGGGGCCAGTGTAGACGTAGCCATCAGGTGTAAGCCTTCTTGCGCAGGAGGGCAGTGTGGACGCTTGGCGAGGATTTCTTGTGCAAGAAAGCCCTATGGGTAAAATGGCCACCAGAGCTTTCTTGCGCAAGAGAGCGTCCACACTGCCATGGGCGCTCTTGTGCAAAAGCACAGTTCGCACATGGCAGTGTGGATGTTTTCTTGCACAAGAAGCCGCGAGTGTAGACATAGCCCTGGTGTTTAGATCCCTGCAATTTGTGGATATCCGCTTTATAGACCTGAGTATCCTGATCTGTGCATATCTGCAGCTCATTTTTGTGGCTACAGCTGTGGATGCAATACAAATTTGGTATCTCTTCAGGGCTCTAATACACCCTCTATAACCATATGCCTAGCCAAGGTTTATTAGTACATTCCTACATTATTAAGCAGCATTACAAACTTTTTTCCATTTGTTTACCTCAGTGAAATAAAAATAAACTCACTCACTACAACACTGACCTCCCATGGTTCCACAAGTTCTCTGCTTTGGCACCAGTCAGGTCCTGAGAGTGCCAGATTAGAGAGGTTCAAAACTGTATTGGAATCTCTCCCCTTCCCAGGAATCACCACACTTGACAGACTTTGGCTCTGAGCTAGTCCAGTATTCTGTCTCCCCTCACATAGTAATCACTAGATGCTTTGCAGGAAGATGTAAGAATGCCACACTAAGCAGATATGGTGTCATATGTCCCCCATTCTAGTTCTTAATCTCAAATGAGGTGCAAATGAGATGCAGAGTTTGGTTACCAAGTTAATAGGTATTTTCTCTTAGCAGCTTTGAATTTGCATTTCAGTGGATGTCCCTGTTGTAACAGGCAGGGAGAACAAACACCCACTCTGTTATTGCTAATATTCACTTTTCCATATTTTATGTCCATTATCTCCTAAGGTGAATGATCCCAGTCTTCAGTCTGCCATGTTTTTCCAGTATCTTTAACAAAACTGACCACCTTTTATTTCCCTTTGTTTCTACAGTATCTTTTTCAAGACAGAGCAATCAGTATTGTACTCGTTATTGCCCATGAAGATTCACTAGTGAACTCAGTTACATAAAAATTAAATTACGTTGAAAAATGTTAAGGTTGCAGAGTCAAGTACTCAAAATTAGGCAACTGCAGAATTAAGGTTGACAGTACAATTTACCCTTGCATTTGTATTATTAGTCAATTATTTGATCACATCTCTCTCCACCCTCCCCATCCCCAAACAGCATTCAGCAGAGGCACACACCTAGCATGGAACATGCCTAAACAGATAAATTTAAAAAACGAATGGTCTAGCAGCACCATAAAGACTAACACAACATGTAGATAGCATCATGAGCTTTTGTGGGTATAATCTACCTCTCTAGGGGGAGGGATAGCTCAGTGGTTTGAGCATTGGCCTGCTAAACCCAGGGTTGTGAGGTCAATCATTTAGGGACCTGGGGCAAATCTGTCAGGGATGGTACTTGGTCCTGCTGTGAGGGCAGGGGACTGGACTCAATGATCTCTCGCTATATATATATATATATATATATTCAGATGAACCGTGTATCCACAGATGAACTGTGGTTGTACCCACTGAAGCTCATGATACCATCTACATGTTTTGTTAGTCTTTATGGTGCTGCTAGACCATTCATTGTTTAAGTTTTCCCAGTTACAGACTAACTCAGCTCCCCCTCTGAAGCTTTCAAACAGTTACAGTTTGGCAAAGTTACAAGAGCTGAAGGAATGCGTTGGGCAACCTTAATGATAGGCAACACTACTTGCTCCACCTACATTAATGGCATTATAATATTTTTCCATGTTTGCTTTTTATCACATCTGTATTTGTAACAGATAAGACCGGCCATACTGGGAAAGACCAATGGCCCATCTAGCCCAGGAGCCTGTCTTCCAACAGTAGCCAATGCCAGAGGGGTGAACAGAACCGGTAATCATGTGATCCCTCTCCTGTCAGCCATTTCCAGTCCCTGAAACAGAGGCTAGAGGGACACCATTCCAGCTAATAAATAGTGATGGACTTAACCTCCATGAATTTAACTTCATGGAGCAGTACAATGACAGGCAGGTCCCTTTCCAGACTGCATGCAGCTAAGCTAGAGTCAAGTAAGATATAGTGATTTCCCACCCCCGCCACACACCACTTTGCATTTATCAACACTGAGCTTCGTTTGCATGGTTACATCTCTGAAATTCCTCACAGTCCTCCCTGGTCTTGACTAGCAGATAACTGTTGTCTACAAATTTTGCTGCTTCACAGCTACCCTCCCCGACCCCCCCTCCCCTCACTTTCCAAACCATTAAGATGCTGTAACTGTCCAAGAACCTCTGCAGCAGCACTGCCTACTGATCACTACAGCAATTAGCTCATACCTCAGCACGGTGCCCCCTTCTGGCTGGTGTGTCTCTGGTCATTGCAGGCCAACAGCAGAGTGTGGAGAGCGCGCAGAGCATCACGCCCAGGACCGTGGCATCCTCCAGGACACTGCCTTCTGGCAGTGTTTCCACTCTGATCTCTCATCCCTTTCCAGGATTATCTGTAGTCAGTTTCATACCAGCTACCATGATCATCTGCAGCCAACATCTAGCCCCCCCACTTCAGGGGCAAGCCACAGCCTGTATAGGCCACACTCCAGTGGTGGCTAGATGCAGTGTAAAGGGAAAGGGGGGACCCAGGCCTGCCCACTTCTGTGTCTCAGCCCAGGGACCCTCTGGCAGCAGCCTGGTCCTACTGTCCTTCACTCCCCACTGCCACTTCTCATTCCCTTACTCTGGGCCACTTTCCCATGTTCCCTTTGCACCTTCTTGGTCCCTGTATCGAGGCCACAGCCTGGGAGGTATTAAGGCCAGAGCCCCTCTCTCTGGCTCTGAGCTTGCTCAGCACTTTGTCAGATGTGCTTCTTCACTAGGAATCAGTCCTATACCTTTGCTGGTCAGGATGCAACTGCCCTCTGTTCTGTTGAGCAGCTCCTTATAATCTGGGCTTTTCCAGCAAGTTGCCTTTTGATTGGCTCCTTCTAAATCTCTGATTGCCTGGGGCTCTGCCCAGGCTCCCGCCAGCCTGTTTGAACACCTTCTGGCCAGAGTGAGGCAGCCACCCCACTACAGATGCATTAAAACACAGGACCTCATACAGAACTGTGGGGCAGCCAACTATTAGCCTTGTGTCATGATGAAAATTGACCATCAATCCTATTTTTTGTCTTTGTTTTTCAGGAATATTAAGGGCCTCCTACCCAGCCATCCCGCCATTTTTGCTGCAGATCAGCCTTAGGTCTAATCACTTTTACTGCCATTTGTACAAAAAATTTCTTCTTGAAAGAAAGACACTGAAGAGTACACAGTGGGGGTGGCTGTATTAGTTGTTTATGGTGTCAGCTACAAGAAAAAATAAAACATGACAGAGCCCAAAGAACACTTAAAATGACAAGCTCTGATGACTTGTCATCTCTTGGAACACTACAACTGAACCAATCGTGTCTCCCTCCTCACCACTCACAAGGAGAGGTTTACATTCTACCACGTGCCCCCCGTGTTAACATTTTCACCTCCTGCTCTCACTGGCGAGAGTTGACAGAAAAGAGCTCTCATGGACAGCGTTACATAGGATGCAGTTCATTTATGGGGAAAATAATTTTGCAGGGTTTTTCATGTACAAAGAAAAAGTAATGCCGGACTTCGAATGCAAATCAGTGTCACTGTCTATACACAGAAAAAAATAAATGCTTCCAGAATACGTGGTGATGCATGTCAGGGTTGTAGTTGCTTTGTCTCCAGAGCCAAGTGTTCTTCAGAGTCCCTCCTCTACAACAAAAACACACACTTTAGACACGTTCAGCACAGCAGCTCGGTCCACACTTAGCTAGACGTTCACGCGGCAATACTGAACCTGAATTAAGTAACCAGTGAGAGCAAGGAAACTGCATGACCAAACTATCTTACAAAGAGGTACCTGGAAGTTCTGCACATTTGTTTACTGTTACCAAACAAAAAGGCTGGAAGCTTTCGCCAAAGTTGTACTGGGAAGGGGCATGATCACTGCTAAGAGCTCCAGATTTGTGACTAATTCTAAAAAGGTACTAGGTTAACAGGGTTGCCAGGTGTCCAGTATTGAACTGGACAGTCTGGTATTTTTGCCTCCTGTCCAGTAAAAAAAATTAGAAGATACCAAACACCTAAAATGTCCAGTATTTTCTAATGTTTTCCCAGCCAGGAGGCAAAAACCCCAAGTGCTGACCGGGTTCCACAGGGGAGCTATCCAGCCTGGTGCAGGGATGCAAGATGGTGGGCAGCCACCAGCAGTCTGCTAGGGCCAAAGAGCCTCAAAAGCTTCTCTTAAAGGGGCCTTTTTTTGCTCAACAATTTTGGTTTCTCCCCCCCCCCCCCCAAAAAATTTTTTCCCCGGGGTTTTTTTTGGGGGGGGGGGGGGGGTTGGTATTTTTGGTTAAACCATCTGGCAACCCTATAGGTTAAGCTATTCTGCAAATCCAGGTAGAACCATGAGAGCTATTCCTCCATTTTTTACCTCCAAGTTACCGCCCCAGATTTATCTTGTCATTTGCCACTAATTTGTGTCTGGTACAATCATCAAGTTTTGGAAGATAGCAGGAGACATTGGTTCATATGAAGGAATTAAGCTTGAAGCACAATCCAAGACAAATCACTCACATGCTGCTTTCCCAAGTCCAGCTTGACTAATTTTGGGAAGACTTCTCTGGTGCTCACCTTCCAGGCAGAAAGGGACCCTTCTGCACATTATACCCAGCCCTGAGACCAGCTCCCACACTGCCTCTCACTTACCGGTGCCTCACAGGAGGAACGTTGCAGCACTGCTCTTAAGAGACGATTCCGTAACCTGGTGTGCTTGGAGCACTGCGACCGCTTCCTCAATCTCCCAAAGCAAAGCACAAGATGGAGAGAAGTTTAATTGTCCTGACATCTGGAAGTTCTTACATAGGCAACAGTTAGCATACTCCATGCTGACTCAAACTTGACCCTAGGACAGCTGTCCCTTACAAGAGGTAAGTTACTGAGCAGGGTCACTATGGTTCAGCAACATTACATTTGGGCTGGATTAGTATTTCCAAGTCTGATTCCCCAAGGCCTCAAAACCCCAGAAGTCTCACTCACTCCGATACTATGAGCCTTACTGGAGCCAGTTCTTAGGTCCGTAAGGAGTTTCTGCATCTGTGATGACTTCACAGGAGGCCTAGCTACCCAAAGACAGACAGAGTCAATGGCAACTCTGACTAGCAAGACTGCAGCAGCTCTCAGCACAAGGCATCCCTCATGCCTCACTCAGCAGCCAGCAATCCACCTCCCTCTTCATACAGCTCTGCATGGTTGCTTACTTCAGCCTCTACTTCTGCAATGTCTTCAAAGTGTTTCTAGAATGCGCCTCTTAACTTCCGTGGCGTTCACAATGTGGTAATCTTTCCTGTCTTGGTCCAGAAAACTAGGACATTCCCTGCCTCCACTCCCAAAACCAGCAGTTTCCTATCCATCTCCAAACAGCACCACTGTACCCTAGCTTGGCTTCTTCTCTCCCCCCTCCCCCCCAGTTTTGGGGAATGAGGGGAAGAGGTAACGATGCTACTCAAGTGGCTTATGTATCCGGATCTGTACCTGCTTTTCATGTTTCTCCATAAAACAGTGACGACATTTACCTCACCCAACCACGTCCTCCCTTCCCTGCAGCCTCTACGCATGTGCGCGCGCGCACACACACGCACACACACACCAACAGCTTTACTATTTGCACTACCAGATTCCTTCCCTTTGTGACACATTCAAGGCCATCCTTACCCATATGCAGAATATACAGCTGCATAGGACACCTGAACATATGGGGCACTACTGGGTTTTAATGTCCACCCACTGACCACTTACGATCCCTGGTCTGTGGCTCTGCTTCCTCTGGAAAGTATCTAGTTAATTTAGAAGTGACAAAGCCTGCCAGGCCTTTTAGCAGAACACTGAACCTGTGAAAGAGCCATTCAAGTGGTAATGAAGCCATTTAACAGGCATTTGCCAACCTCAGGTGTTACTGTCAGTTTCTGAATTTACTGAGTTGGTCAACAGGACCTTAGTTTAAAATCTGCTTTAGCAATATTTAATTAGTGTGTTGCTGAAGATCATAAAAATCACATCTCTAAAAGTCACCCCCCACCCTTGCTGCCATCAGGAATAGGGGCACCAGTTTAACAGTACTGCATAGGGCCCTGTAAATCCAAAGGACAGCCCTGAATACATTGCACTGGCTACTTCCTACCTTGGAGTGGAGAGATTCAGGGGATTCCAGCATAAGCAGCAGCTCTGAGTTATCGATCTCTAGCAGCATTCCTGTGATCTTTCCAGCCAGCGACGCATGCATGGCATGGATGAGGGGGTAAAGGCGTTCACCTAGTCACAACAGCAAGGGCAGCTTTACTTATCACAGAAGAACGCAAGGTGACTTCAGACCATTTCAATTCAATAGCCTCTCTCCAGCCCCTCCCCTTCTGTTGCTGCACAGAATGAGTTCCAGCTCTGGTCTGTGCCCCCTTCAACTCTGATGAGAGCAGACCAAGGAGATCCCCTTGCACACATCTAGGTTTGCTGCAGAGGTGCTTGCACACTCAGACAGGGCTAGATAAATTCATGGAGGTTAGGTCCATCCATGGCTATTAGCCAGGAGTAGTAGGAACGGTGTCCCCTAGACTCTGTTTGTCTGGAAATGGGTGACAGGAGAGGGAACACATGAGGATTATCGGTTATGTTTCCTCCCTCTGGGGCATCTGGTATTGGCCACTGTCAGCAGACAGGACACTGGGCTAGATGGACCTTTAGCCTGACCCAGTGTGGCTGTTATGTAGATACCATGCTCCAAGAAAGCATCTGTGTCCCAGTGAGGGTGTAAATGCACAATCTTTCTTTATGCTGAACTACAGCGAGAACGTGGTGCTAAGATGAGCCAGGAACAAGGATTTTCAACCAGGCTGGTTCTCCACAAGCTCCCCACCCCCATAGGTCTGCAAAAACCCCTCAGCCCTGGGGTCCCCCTGCAACCCCGCTCCAAGGACTGACAATACTCCTCAGCCCTGAGCACACTATGTTCCTCCCTGCAGCTGTTCCATTCCTGAGCCTCTCTTGAGCAGACAAGGGGGGGGGGGGGTTTGTAACATGCACAGATGGAGGCCTGGATGATTTCAAACACTGACAGCGAACCCGGTGGGTCCAAGAGAAAGCTGAAATCAAAGCCCACTGAGGTGACAAGACTGATGGCCCTGACTCTGTGCCACTCAACCTTCCAAGAACAGCATCAGACATGTCTGCCAGCCAGTCACATTGTGCAAAATGGAGCTGGTGTCAACACACAGTGGCTGAGACCTCTTGTACTTATGTGCTGAATTGGGCTAGTCCTGGTTCCAGCCTCTCGCTGCTTGAACAGGAGAGCAACTGAGTGTAGCAGCATCTGTTCAATCCTGCTGCTTCGCACTAGCTTCCAAAAACCTGAAAGCCTTGGATTAAAATGCTGCTAGTTATGGGATGCTTCAGAGATGTACACAGAAAAAAGTTCAGAGGCCTGTGTTCACTAACAAGAGGCATAGCTGCTGCTTCCCTTACAGTCTGCCATCAGAGAATGCAGACCAGAGTCAAACAGGTAAAAAATAACTGCCTTCCTCAGCTTCTTTATCCTGCAGGAGCTATGGTCAGATATGCCACTAAGTAGGTGTGGAACATTGCTACTCAGGATTAATAGTCACAAGCCAACTGAAGTGCCACCTGGGGGAAGGAATGTTCAGAGAAAGTAACCAATTAGTCAAGTGAGGTGGGAGGAGCCCTACCAAGCTCCTCCCGCTAGAGTGATGTTCTTGTACTGACCTTGTTGGCAATGTTTCTAATTCACTGAAAACAGGCCAAAAAAGATTGCAAATGCCACAGTTTGGTTGGGCCATGGAAACAGCCTGCATCACTAGCGTTCCTCCTATGGAACTAGGATTTAGTCATTAAGAAGCAGCACTGAAGCATATGGTAGCCCAGAGGAGAGCTTCTTAGCCTGCAGGCATGAACCCCTGGGTCCTTCAGCATGCACGCTGGAGAGAGAACACATGCCAGGGAGTGAGGCTGCCGGCTGAAACTGGATAGCAGCAGCCACCTGTTGCCACTGGGCTATACTGAAAGTGCAGCCAGCACTGAGGAGTAGGGATGTAAAATCCTGTTTAAAACGTTAACTAGTTAACTGACCCGTCACGTCAGGTCACGGGTAGTGGCCCGCTGGAGTAGTTCCCTGCCTGCACCACAGAGGTCCTGGTCAAGCTGGAGCAGCCCGCCCCCAGCCAGGCCAACCACAAGTTACCTGTTTACATCCCTACTGAGGAGAGGAGGCCAGCGCCTTCCAGACCCACCAGGAAAGATACTGGGAGACGGGCGGCATGGAGAGCAAGACGTGTGTCCATATCTGCACAGCCCAAGGCCCTTGGACAAGTGCTTTACCCATGGAATCTCCAGCAAAGCTGTGTCAATGGTCAGCTGTTTTAATATGATCCCACCGCGGCGGTAAGTGGCAAGGGCTGGTTAACCAGTAAGGATGCCATTAGCAGGAAGCTTCCTAGTTAACCAGTTAAGATCCCTAGAACCTGCTGCTCAGTCAGAAGGAACTGCCAGACTCCACATGAAATTGAACACTTTGGCAAAGCCCAATTGCCTGCTGCAGTCAGCCCCGAGGAGGCAAACAGCTGATTGACAGGCCCCCAATCCTGCACAGGTCAAGTGGTCACCCAAAGCCTGACAGCAGCAGCAAACGGACTCTTTGGAATTCAGGGCAGCCTGAAACCTTGTCCCCATTGTAACCTGGCAGAGCAGGTGGGGTGGAGCCCACAGGCTTTCCCTTAACCTGGCCGAGGATGCGGTGACCCACTGTACCACTCCCACAGGTTACAGAACAAAGGGGCGGGGGAGGGACAGGTCTATAAGCAAAAGCAGCTTTCAGCCCAGATTTAACAAGAGTTAGTTTCTGTTGCCTTGGAGACTATCGCTCAGGCTGTGAAAATCCCACAAGTACCACGTATGGGGGTAGGAAGAAATCTCGGGCTTGTTGACATGCAATGCACGTGCAGTGAAGCAACACAGCCTGCATCCTCTCCAGGAGGTTAACGACAGCTGCACCAGCACCTACCTAGCATTTGCTTCTGCTCCTGGGGAGGAGCTGCAGCGAGCATGGATGCAGTCAGAGGCTCCTGCCCGTGGATATGAACGGCAGATTCTCCAACCTGAACAAAGCACCAAAGGATACAATCATCCAGAAAGGCAAGCAGCAGCACTTGAGCTAATCAAGGTGCACATGTCATATTTTAGAAGTAAGGACTCAGGGAAGAAGGGTGGGATCTATTGGCAAGGCTTGGTAGTTACAGCCCCTTTTCATCTGGGGATCTCAATCATTAATCTTAACCCCTGTTTGGAAGGCAAGTCAGGGCTGGAGTAAGGCAGCCCTGGCCTAAGCATACCAGGACACTGAGGCCTGCTCTGCACTTAAAACATAGGTTGACTTGGTTGTCCCCCTCAGGACTGTGAAAAATGTCACAGCAATGGAAAACCCCCTTCCACACCTCGGCACAGCTTTGTACCTGTGCCACTGCGGGCAGCAGCCTGGGGCCTCCTATCAGCCCCCTCACGAGGAGCAGCAAGAGAGGCCTGCTCTCCCAACAGCAAGGCAGGGGTGGCAGCAAGAAGGTGTGTGTCTTCCAGCGGGGTGTTGTGCCTGCTGCCCTCTTGCCACACTCTGCTAGTGTGTGTTGCCAGGGCTCCTCAGACCAGTAAAGCACTAAGCGCATTGGGCAGAGCTGCCAATACGGGATGGGGGAGGGGAAAGGCCTGCAAATGCCCCAGGGCCTGGCAATTCCAAGAGGTCCAGGTCTCTTGGCTACCACCGATGGGGGAGGGGAAAGGCCTGCAAATGCCCCAGGGCCTAGCAATTCAAAGAGGTCCAGGTATCTTGGCTACCACTACTGCTACTGCAGTGTGAAAACAGGCTCTTTTCTGGCCAGGCCTCGTGCGCATAGCCTTCCTAGCCCAAGTTTACCTTCCCCTCAAACCAAAAATCCTGCACTATGAGACTTAAAATCAGTAAAAACCAGGAGTAAGACACCAGGCAGATAAGGGTCATACAAAGTTCGCGCCACTCAAGGGCCATCTCACCCCCTCCCCTTCCCTCTCAGCCTGTCACTAGGCAGACTGAATTTGTCAAGCCTATCACAACTAGGCGCGGGAAAGCTCTTGCTCTCCCTATAAAACAGCTACCCCTCCTGCATGCAGTTGAGGGTTCCCGAAAACTTGGAAGGCAGAACACGAGCCAGGTTCTGAGGGCTGATCACCCGAGGACCCCCTCCCGCTCACCGAATCTACTGAATCTTTTGCAGAGCGTGACGAATAACGAATATGCTGTTGTCTCTGTTGTCCCTTGTATGTCTGATAAATGTGAGTATTGCTGTGTAAAGTTAGTTAAAGGTTTGATAAATAATAGTGTTAAGAGTAAGTTAGTTAGAAGTTTGTTAAATAGTATAGTTAGGAGTTTAAATAGATGTTAAACCTCATGAGTGAAATTAATGTAAATATAACTGAAAAATCCCTGGGCTGTTATTGATAATTACTTAGACTTAGAGAAACCCCAGGGCATTTTCCTCTATTGTATTGCAGTTTGTTTGTTGTTACTGTTAATAGTTATCTGGCACCCACGCATGTAAAAAGTTAATAAATAAAAAAGTTATAGTTAAAAGCATTTTAATAAAAGTTAAAAATATTCAATACAAGGCTGCCTGTTTCTGCACCTCTCTGGGGCTGGCCACATTCTCGAACCTTCCATTTTTACCTCCACATGCAGGAGCAGCCAAAGCCCTGGAACCTGTAAAACAGCTGCTGGAGCCCTGGCTGCATAGTCTGGGTGATGCCGAAAGTCTGGCAGGTGGAGGCTGGCTCCTAGCCCCTCCCCTTCCAATCAAGGCTCCGCCCTTTCTGGGAGCATGGAGCCAGGCTTCCCCCCACCTTGCCCAGGGGCCCAGTAATTGTCAGCTCCTCTGGTATCGAGACTATTGACAGCTCCGCGAGCTAGTGAGTAGTGAGTAGCCAGCCTGACGCCAGGCGGCATCTGTTACAGTTGACTCAAGTTTTCAAACTTTTCTTCACAGTCATGAGGTAAAATAGTAGTGGCAGCATCCCGTAACTCCAGCAGCTGGGTCCCTAAGCATGGGCCTGTAGTGCCTAGGCCTTAATCCAGCCACAAGGCAAGTCACCCCATTTTGCTGATGAGAAGCCTGAGCTGTATGGATTGCCAGTTGCCCATGGTCACAGGCTCCAATGGCAGAGCCAGAAGTGGCCTCTAAGTGCTGGAATCCCAGTCCCTTGCCCTGGTCACTAGCACACAGCGCTTTTAACTTACTGGCTTCCTTCAGAGCCACCCACACCCAGCATCTCAAAACTTGAGTTTAAGCAACACTTAAAGCCATTTGAGAAGTCCCATTTTTTATACCAGAGGAAAAGCTTCCCCATTCCCACCAAGGAGGTGCTCGATTCCAGCTTTGCCACCAGCATTAAGAACTAACTCTGCGAAGTGGCAAGGGCCTCGCAGTTTCCAACAGGGACAGGAGTTGTAAGATAAAAATAATCTGCATGCTTCAGGAGACTCAACTCAGTCTCCTCTTGCCTCCCTCCTTATCAGGGCTGGCCAGATCTGGCCCAGCCGATGGTATTCATGTAGGGTGAAGGTTGCACCAATGTATCGAATGGAGCAGACTACAGCATACAGATGAGGCCTCCACTCAAGGCACTGGACTCGGCCTGCAGTGCTTTGCATTGCTGAGTGGTCTGGCTGGAAAGGCCAAGATGCAGCACTGACTATGTGCCTGTTGTCTCCACAGACCGCCCCCCCTCCTCCCTTTTACAGGCTGAGCATCTAGACAGCAGTGCTCAGTGGGCGAAGCTATAGCCAAGTCCCCCCCTCTAACAGGACCATGCAGAATAGCACAGCTCCCTAAAGGTGAGATTCCACCCTTCATCCCCACCAGACACTCTAGCAGCAGAGTTCACACCACATGCCAATAGGAACCCGAAAGGCCTTTCAGACTGCGGCCACCAGCCTTGCCCTACAGGAGAGGTTTGGAGCGGCCCTGGTTCAGCGTTCTATTCTGCTTCTCCCTTCCTTTGATGCTCTATCCCCGCGCCTCTAGGGCAGAATCCTGTGAGTGGGTTACCTGTGGTACCGGCATGGATGCCACGCTTCCTATCGGCTGGACGTTCCTCACCGCTGAGGAGTACTTATACTGCGGCATACCCCGCAGTAGGGATGGTGAGGTGGGTGCCCGGGCACCAAGCGTCTGGGTCCCTATGTTGGCTGGAAGAGACAAAGGAATGTTGGCAAGGGTCAGACCTGCCTATAAGCATCTGCACATGCTTTAACTACACCTGCAGAGAGCATGTGGGCAGCATGCCAAGTGGAGCTGGCAAAATACGCCCCTCAACTTCAAGGCAATGTGCTGGTGCCATTCAAATGCAAAATGGGCTCTCCTAGCACAGGGCAACCAGTTCAGGGCATGGACAAGTGCCCCCAAGTCAATCTGTCTCTGTTTCCCCCCATAGATTGATGTGTGTCAGCATCAGCAGCTAAAGTGCAGCAGCAGGCCTGGGACCAAGGATTTGCCCCAGGACTCCTCCTGGATGGTATGGTGCTCGCGCACAGCAGGGCCACAGACAGCGTGCTGCCATCCAGGCAGGAGCAGGAGGCTGCCCTCCTTGGGCTGCCTGCCTGACTCCACAAAAGGACAGAAAAAGGACAAAAAACTGAGGAGGAACAAGATCGACAGGTCCCGCCACACGTGCTCTCACACACAAGGGTGTTCACAGACTGTGGAGCCGCTGGAACCTCCTTGCCACTTGGGAGCAGCACTGCCACTTCCTAATGCGTCCTGCTCCAAAACTCCCTGGGGAACCACCTTCTTTCCCCTCAGATACCAGCTGCTGGAAGCCCCGGAACCTTGTCCACAAGCATGGACTCAAAAGTGTCTCACCCCAACTGCTTCTCATCTCCTGTTCATTTCGAGCACAGAAAAAGCCAAGGGCCAAATACAGGGGCAGGTCTAAGTGCCAGAGAAACGAGAGTGAGAGAATTTAGGCCAAAGCAATTTATTCTCTCTCCTGGCACCTCCAGCCAGTAGATTACATCTCTTAGACAGCTTCAGACTCCTACCATGTTCCAGCGTGCACTTCTGCATCATCCCCTTTACACACCACCTACAATTTGAACTACAAGTCCGAGGGAGAGCTTGTGAGAGAGCCTGAGCTGGTGTAACACATACACTAAGGAGCCACGAACGCAGAAAGCAGCAAGAAGAGCATTAAGTCCTGCATACACGTCACCTCTGCACCTGGCCCTTAGATTCTGCTATTAAACTTCCTCAACTTTCCACCATGTCACTTATGCTAGAGAGAAACATAAGTAGGTAAACTGACTGACAAGCCACTAAGTCTCTCTCCTAGGCATCCTGTGCTAGGTATAACAAGTCAAAAGAGCCAAGATAGTCAGAACCATTCCCCAACCCCGAGGAAGCAAGAGTTGCAAACCAGTATGCCCTGGTCTATCGTAGGGCTTGATTTTGAAATAGGGGGATGGAGGAGAGAGTTAAGTTGAATTTATAAGCGGAGCATCCACACTCCCAAGCCTGTTATTTTGAAATAAGGGTCCACTTATTTCAAAATCTGTTCTCCCACTTCTCAGGGAATAACGCTAATTTCAAAATAGTTATTTTGACATTTCAAAGTAACTATTTTGAAATTTCAAAATAGCTATTTTGAGATAGCGTTAGTGGCACCGGAGCATCCGCACTATTTTGAAATAGCTACTCCCCAGAGTAATTCAAGCTAATTACTCCCCAATGCTTGCTGGAACTCTAAATTGAGGTAGTTAGTGTGGATGCACTGAGTCTGTCTTGGACTAAATCTGAGGCTTCCCCACAGTGGGAACAGGCTATTTCGATTTTGTAAAAAAATCAGGAGTTAAGTAGAACGTAGTTATTTCAAAATAGTTTCCTAGTGAATAGACTAGTGTAGACATGGCCTAGGTAAGCCCAGGGAGATGCAGTCATGGGCAGGTGCTCATTGCTCCGAGAAAATCCTGAGAGTAACACACAAATCAAATCTAAAAGGCACAAGATAAGCACAGAGCATTTTCAGACCACACATCTCTGTCAGTCTTCACTGTAAGCAGTGGCAATCTCTATTCCACTTAGCATCTCAAAACCTTTGTTGTTGTTTAACTGGAGCCCATGAAGAACTATTTCCTTTGTCCAGGGAATCCCTTAAAATCTGGTTTTGGCCGAAGAACACTTTGCGTAAACATTAAACCTAGGACTCCGTGTGGTCATTACTACTGAACGGCACACAGTGGGACCAATCAGGCTCAGGGTCCTTTTTGCATTAAGCATTGATCCAAAGACGACAACGTTCCCTGAGAACCACAGACAGCACTAGTAGCACGTGGGTTTAAGTCCCTTCTGTGCACTGGGGACAGCACAGCATCCTACGGCAAGTGTTTAGGGCAAGTGTTTTTACCCACTCTCCAACTTTTGAAAATACTGCTCCTGAAAATGGGGCTCAGCAGAATTCAATTTATTTATAGTTCTGACAGGTAATATCAATGCTTATTGGGAAGTTACATTTGCACAGATGTGAGAAGTTATGGGGGCATCAGGCAAGGACTTAACCATATAGGCTGAGATTCAAAAAGTTTCATAACCATTAAAAATACAAATCGTTAAAAAAAAAATCACACAATAAATAAAGGCAATAGTTGGAAATTGTAATAAGTACTGCAGCAGCATTTTTCTCCTTTTCTCTCTGCCAATTTGGATCACCATCAGTGGTAATATTTCTCAGACTATGTGTACTATGAAAATGACACAGAACAAGACTGTGGCAAATGCCCTCTTCGACACATGTTCACGAGATACTTCTAACCCACTGCCTCCTAGACTTACCCACTCTCTGGGCATGCGGTGGCACTCGGGGTACCTGCGTAGATGCCTGTCTCATGGTGCTGATGTTGGATAGCAGGCGCCTGGGTGGAGCTGTCGCTCTCAGGAGTGGGGTGGCCGTTTGGTAGGCTGCTGTAACAATTGAACATTGTAAGTTTTCTAATGGTGAAGGCCAGGAAGAAACATCTGGGGGGGGTGGGGGGGGTGAGAAAAGGAAAGGTTTGAGATGTAGATGAAAGAGGAGGTCTCTCTTACTCAGTGCGATGCAGAGTTTTACTTCCCAATGCTTATCGCCTGCAGGTGACACTCAACCAGCAATGTCTGCACAGTAGTTTCCCTAGCCTCATGGCTTGTGCTACTTTTTGAGCATGTTCATTCCTAAATCATCCCAGCACCAGAAGGAAAAGGCCAAAGTCCCACACCAAGCTGCTGAGAGCACACACAGAGGCACACACTGGCTCCCTCCACCACACGCAGGCTGCCCACCATGAGAGGCGGGAGGAGGCACTGCAGAGTTAGACTCACTCACAGGGAAGTCTGGAGGGCTGCGTGCTCCAGCGAGGGGCAGGACGCACAGGGGCCACTGGGCTAGGACTGTAGAAAGTAGCTCTAGTTTGTGGCTATGAAAGGAGCAGAACACAGAGTGACTCACTCGCCAACCTGAGCCAATTACTACAATCCTCCGGCAGCAGCAACAGACACCGTGACACGGGAACTGCAGACGTAACTGGATGAACGGATTGAAGCAGAGCTCAAAAGAGCCCTTCATGGAACTGGCAGCAGCAGGATTCAAACACCTCCATGACTTACCAGCATGTCTACAAACCCAGGGCCCACTAATACCCAGTCTGCAGGCTACAGAAGTGTAAAGTGGCCAGTCAGGGCTAGGACATCCTGAGGGGCTGGAAGCAGAGAAGAGGCCTGTGATAATTCAGAGATTTCAACAGTGTTTCAGTAATCTGTGTAGAACGGCATCATGCTAATGCATTCTAGGCCTTTATCCCATGGGTAGTGCAGTATCCTGAAGTGTTTCACAGTCCCCTTTCCTGCTGCTTCCCCTGGCGCTAGGCCCTATCAACTTACTCTTCTCCTTGTCTAACAAGCCACATCTTTGCCATGAGCCTATCCCTGCATCAGACTTCTTCTGCCAGGCTTTTCCACAGTAACTAGCTCAGCGTGCCGCTCGCAGGGGAGTCATGTGAACCCAGGACTGCTGACCGGAGCAAGAAGAGAGGCAAACCCCAGCGATACAAAAGGGCCCGGGGCTTTAGGTACCTAACTAGATGGCCTGATTTTCGAGAAGCATTGAGAAGGTAGCACCCACCAGTAATTCCAAGGAAAACAAGCCAAAGGTTTGTTCATTTAAGGGTTGATGCAGAGACTTTAGTCACCCAGACTTGAAAATCTTGCCCGTTGTGTTTACATGCTGTACTATGCACAGTTAGACTAAGTTCTTCGGGGCAGAGACTCTGATGTCTGCAGTGCTGGGCATCCACCAGGCAAGCAGACAGATGCTCAGGACAGATTCTAATGGCAACCAATTTGGAGGGGCTGAGCACACAGAACAGAGCAGCACTCAGCATGTTGCCTGTAGCTCTGGCATCCCTAGAATGACAGTCATTGGCTTTTCACCTTTGGGTCCCTAGACAAGCTAGCTAGTTCAATTATTCTCAATGCTGGAGGTGCTGAGGTGCCAGAGAATTTATACACTCCTCCCCCATGTCCATTCCCCCCATCCCCAGACTGGGGGTCTCACCCCAGGCAAGCTCCGAGTTCATATCTGTCTGCTGACAAGCCCGTCAGAGGGGTGAACGGGGTCTCACCTGTGGGATGGCAGGCAAGAAGTACCCTGTGGGTGGCTGGAAGGAGCCCAAGAGAGGGCCAGGCAGGGCCCTCATGGTGGCTAGTCTCTGCATATACTGGTTGGTGAGAATTGCTTTTCTTTCCTCCTTTCTTTGAGCGAGGGCGACGTACAAAGGCTTGGTGCTGACGATCCGCCCGTTCATTTCCGTCACGGCTTTGGTAGCCTCTTCTGGGGAGGAAAAACATACAAACCCAAACCCTTTGCTGTGTCCACCCTCTGTCATCACCTAAAATTAGATTAGAACACAACAAAGTCCACTGAATGCCAGGCACACCATCCGCGCAGCGCACACAGCAGTCATCACAGGTGGGGACGTGAGCAGGGAGGGAGACCGGCATGCAGACAGCAGCCAGTCTTTGGACTCTAAGGCAACCAACACTCTGGCCTGAGGCTCTTGGGGCTGATTTCTTTTAAGCAAGGCTGGAGGCAGGTGCTCCCATCACATAACCAAGGATAATTTTTTTTCCTTAAATGGCTATTTCTAGGCGCCTATCCCCAGATGACCAAAACACAAAAGCTCTAGTAGCAACCCAACATGCTACCACTTCAGGGTGGGGCAGGGGACATATCTTTGGGGGGGGTCCCAACCTGCATTCCCCAGATTAGCAGGGGCTGTAAGCACCGTGGAGACAGCAGGTAAGAGACTCCCACGGCAGCAGGGAGTATCAGCAGTGACTTATCTGAAAAGCTACAGGCAGAAGATGCAAGCCAGTCACAACTCATGTGCCAGGGTCTACGGCTCACACAGCTCTGAAGTCTAGGACTTACTGTGTTCAGTGCCCCGCAAAGCCCAGCCAGACCCAGAGATTGGTGACTGTTTAGGATCTAATGCCTTGTGAATTAGACTCCCCGGGGTAGCCCACTTCTCTTACCTTCGCACTAGTAATGGTACCATATGGAGCAAACTCCTTCCTCAGCCGATCATCATCAATACCATCATCCAGATTCTTCACATATAAATTCACCCCCTGAAAAGAGAGAGGGCAGTAACTAGATTTCTCCAAACAGCACAGCAAGCACTCCCAAATTCAGGGTGGCTATTGAAGGCCCACCATAAACATTCCATAGGAACTAGCTGGGCTGTGTCTTACTGACTCCTTCCCCTAAGGCCAGATTTCCATACGACTAAAACAAACTCACTGTCTTCTGGGCATGAAAGAAGGCGGCAGATACAGCCAGGGTTTAGGACCACACTGGCTTTCCACATCGTCGCTTACAGGTGTCACCTCTAAGACATGACCTGGAGGAGTGTGTAATGCAGGGAACCAGGCTGGCACCTTTAAGGATCCAGTCCCAGAAATGCAGATCTATGAAATCCCAGTACATCAGACAAAGAAGGAAGAAAGCTCGTTTCCCTGGCAGAGATGCTGGTTGCTGTTGGGATTCCCACTAATACAAAGACCAGGCTGTTGCTGAGAGATGTAATAGTGTAGTCGATTAACCAATAAGCAAACTCTTGTAAGTTAATGCTATACTACACACGTTCCCACCCGCCCCAGGTAATTTTTTTAGCAGGCTGGTCAGCAACCTGGCTCAGTCCTGGCTTGCAACAAGTCCAGGACCTACCCCCTGCTGCAGTTGTGCATTTAAAGTGTATTAGGAGTTAGGCTAGCAGGCAGCCCAGCTCAGTTCTGGCTCATGCTGGGTCCAGGAGCACAGACACGCACCCCCGGACAGGGGCTGCTGCCACCCCGCGCTACTGCCTCTGTATGACAGGGGGCTCCTTGGAAGTGGGGCTGGAGCGTAACTGGCTGCTAGCCCCACCTCCGGGAACTACAGAATAGTCGATTAACCAATAAGAATTCATGAGTTTACTCAACTATTCAATTAACTGATATTTACCATCCCTACTTCATATCGAGTAGGCCCAGCAGAGACATCCCATGCTGTCACCCCATCTGACCACCATGCCTGAGAGCAAACAAGAACATGGCATGAGGCCCCCTCCACTTCCCTCCTGTTACCTGGTATCTGCTCACTCTCTCCTGTTTGATCTGTTCAAATTTACGCTTCAGTTCACTCTGACGCTCCATCCTCTTCTGAGCTCGGCCAACATACACCATCCGGCCATTGATCTGTTTCCCGTTCATGTCCGCCACAGCCTGCCAGATGACTCCAAGTCTAAGCCCACGGAGAAACCAGAGCACCAGCAGCTTCCCAGCCCCGCCCCCACCCATGGGGTAGGCTCCATCTCCCCTCCCCCATGGCTACCAGAAAGCTTTCCAAATTAAAAAATAAGGCATAAAAGCAACTTGGCTTCTAAGCTTGGCTTGCAAGGCAGGTAAGAGCCTCCCTTTGCATAGGACGACTGTCCACACAGACTCACCGGCCACCCAAACACATGTTGTTAACAAGAAGTTACAGGAACTGAAAGTTATGAATCTTTCAGACCAACAGATCATTTAGTTACATTCCAGCAGCTAGCACGAGTCCACCCCTGCTTGTGAGACCAAAGACCCAACCAGGCTTCTAGTCGTCAGCGATTTGATTAAATACACAAAGACCCTCTTGCCTTCTGGGCTTCTTGGTGCTTCTCAAAGTTGACAAACCCGAATCCTTTCGAGCAGCCAGTCTCATCCATCATAACGCGGACACTCAGCGTCTTTCCTGCAGACAGAAGAGCACAGTAACCAAGACCAGCAAGATACAGTCTACTAATGCCTCTGCTCACAGGTTGAGGAAATCCCATTCCCCCCCACATCTCCTGCTTTGGCTAGCAATCTAGACCTTTGTTAGAGGTCTAGCCAGTGCTGAGTAATATGGGGGCCATGGCAGCTGCATAGGAGATCCAGATATTGGGGTAACTCCAAAAAGACACAGACATGGAACAGGGACGACCATAAGTGCCTACTGCAGTGTGGATATTCCCCTGCCAGCAAAGACATCCAGTCTTACAGGTGCGACAATGGTGTTAGGAAGTATACAGACACCCCCAACTTACTAGCTTGGTCTCCCTAAGTCCTCTCCCCTAGAAAGGACTTTACAGGAGCTAGCCAGCCAGCGAGTCATGACCCAAGTATCTAATGATTGTACAGCAGATCTGGGTTCTATGCCTGATGCCCGCAGTTAGTCACAAGTTCTGGGGCCTCAGTTTTTTTCCTGTAAAATGGAGAGAAGTATCCCCGTCTACGCAGTGCAAGGAATCTAGTCACAGACGCAGCCTTTGAGAAGCACAGATGAAAGGCGCAACAGAAAATGGCAGATGATTTAGTATTTCCTCAAGCACCAACAGTATGCCCAGGGCTCTACCAGAAACGGATGTTGCTTCAAGAACGTAGGAGACAGTCGCAACCCGTTGGAAGACTCAGAGGAAGGAATAATTTTTGCTTTTCAATCAAGACTAGTCACTGGCCCTTCTGTAACTGGCTTCCACACTCCAGTGCAGCTTTGAGACGTTCTATGCACTCACTTGGCTGGGGAGGGCAAGAGTTTGGTTTTGAAAAGCAAATAAGCAATCAGGTCACCTGCTATCATCATGAGAGAGAACAGGCAAACTGATGATTAAATTTATGATAGTTTTGCAAAGCTGCACTAGATCATTTGGATCGACTGGTGTGGCCCTCGGATAAGTGCTCACCCTAAAACGACTATCAGTAAGAGGAGAGGTCTCATGCCTCACTCAGGTTCTTGCCCTTGGACCGGTCCCACTGCCTCCTATTCACCCTACGCAGTGCAGGCCTTGCTGTGGAACACTACTCACCAAACCTGGAGAATATTTCCCGCAGTCGGTCATCATCCATATCATCCCCGAAGTTCTTGATATAGACATTGGTGAATTCCATTGCCCGTGCCCCAAATTCTGCCTCCCGCTCTCTGCGGGATTTAAAATGGCCGACAAAGCTGCAGAAGGAAAATGGAGGAACATGAATCCTCACTATACATCCACTGTGCAGGGGGAAAGACATGGGAACCTACCGGTCAGTAGAGTTGCTCCTGAAGGTGATGGTCTCTATCACTAATAGCTGTGCATTTATGTATCTCAGCAACCTGCGCAGATCCAATGTGTACACTCCCCACTTCCCCACAGACACTGGCTATTGTTACCTAACTGTAGCACCCAGCGGCCCAAGTCAGGACAGTGTCCCCTTTTCTTGAGGTTGTACAGACATAGAACAGACAGTTCCTGCTCCAAGCACCTCACAAGCTAACAGCCATCCCATCCCAGGCATTCCCTTGGGTGATCTCACCTGATGAAGCAGATCCTAAAGCAATCATTTGCCCTCTCCCTCCTGGATGGAGACCAGTCTGCCCCTCCTCCCCGCAGTGCCAGGTTCACCTTCAGTGGACCCTCACCCTTGCATCCCAGCTGGGCAGAAGTGGCAAAACACAGGCAGCAATCTAGAGAGCTCACGAGACCCAAAAATGGCAACATCTTTCCCAGGAAGGAGTCTAAACCCTCTCTCTTCCGCATGATCGGAAACCGAACTCCTCAGGGGTCAGGGAGCTTCGAACTGCAGCATCACCAACATGACGTGCACCTGCTCTTGCCTAGACTAGGGATTGTTCCCTCAGTGCCAGCAGTTCTCACACTACAGCCTCCACACTTCAGCCCTACCAGGATCTTTGGCATAACCCTAAAGCAGCATTTAATAAAGAGCCAAAACAGCAGCGGGGAAAAATGTGAAGAGCCGCACCGTAATTGTTGGGAGGGGAAGGAGGGGAGAGAAGGAGACTGCCCCTTTAAGAAACAAGCTTAGGCTTTTTGGCCATAGGCTCCGGTTGACAGTCGCAATCTTGGGCACCATTCTGAATTGCTGCCCCAGTGGACACAGGGGAGCTGTGGGCAGGGGCCATTGCGGGGGTGGAGAGGGTGCAGGAGCGGCTCCACGAGCCGTACCTCTGGGGAAGAAGAGCCGCATGAGGCTCACGAGCCACGGGTTGGCCACTTCTGCCCTACAGCCCAACGGAAAGAGGGCAGAAACAGCAAGGGCCCTCATAAGGAGCCTGTTTGCCCACTGTGCTGATCACGTCCCACCCCACTGAGCAAGCAGCAATAGCCAAGAGTTTAGCAGTTCTCGAAAGGCTGCCGTCAGAAAGCATTACTGAAGGGAGAAGCAGACCAAAGCAAGGATCCCTCCTCCCCACTTACACCTTGCGGTCATTGAGCAGCATCCCGTTCATGGTGTCAATAGCCCGATTCGCTGCCTCATGAGTCTCAAAGTGAACGAAGCCATAACCGCGGGATCCGTTCTCATCGCACACAACCTGCCCAGGAGAAAGGCAGAGCAAGACATGCAAGAGCCCTGATAAACAGAAGGCACATCTGTCCCTTAACCTCCTTAGCACCCACCCACGTCCCCTCACCAACGTTCAGCCTCACTAGCATCTGCTTTTTCACCAAGCTACAATACCTAGACCCCCACCATTCTTGTGCCATGTGGGCCCATGCAGGAAGAGATACAGGTCACAAGCTCAGCTCCCAGGGTTGAGAGATGCTGGAAACACCCCTGAGGAAATGTGCTGAGGCCCTGGGACAGGAAGTGGTCTGCACTGCTCCTAGCAGATCCCTTCTAGCTGAGTCAGCATGCATCAGCTCTGGAGGCAGTTGCATCCAGCCTTCTTTGCTGGGGGAAGTAAGATAGCAGAGATCCTCCCCAGTAACTCATTAAACACTGGCTTTATTTGTTTCATGAGCGAAAATTTAAAGACAAGGACACAGCATGACGCAAAGAGAATTCATCTCTCCACTCGTTTGACATCCCTGGTGACAAAGTGCAGGCAAGTCCTAGGATAAATCTTGTTCTTGCAGTCAAAACATACATACCTTGCAAGAAAGGATATTCCCAAAGGCTGAGAATGTATCGTACAAGGCTTTGTTATCAATGGAGTCGTCCAGATTCTTGATAAACACATTCCCAACTCCCGATTTCCTGAGTCCAGGGTCTCGCTGGGACCACATGATTCGAATGGGCCGACCTTTGATCACTTCAAAATTCATGGTGTCCAAGGCCCTCTCAGCTGGCAGGAAACATGCACATTTATTACAAACAAGTGAAAACAATTATAAAGAGACACTAAGTGGTACATGGGCCAATATTCCTCCTCTTGTAACAGCGGCTGCCTTATGAGCAGATTGTTACAAGGAGCAGGGAAGTGTTATTTTCTAGCCTCATAGATGGGAAAAAGACCCCCATTAAATCACAATTAGGGATGTCAGCAAGTGGTCGACTAGATGATTTATCAGCTGCCCGTGCGGACCATCTGCCTGTCACCCCATGCTGCTACCTCTGATACAGAGGTGGCAGCAGCCACTGTCTGGGGTGGGATCTGAACTTCTGGAGCTGGTATGAGCTGGAACTGAGCTGGGCTGCCTGCCCGCCTAGCTCCTAATACACTTTAAATGCAGAGCAGGGACAGGGGCAGGTCCCGGACCTGTTGCAAGCCAGGAGTGAGCTGGGCTGCTGGCTAGTCTGCTAAAAAATGTACTGGCGGGGGGCAGGATGCGTGTAGTCTATAGCATTAACCTATAAGCTTTTGCTTATCGATTAATCGACTACACCCGCATTTCTCCAACTGTAGATCCCGACCCCCCGGGGGGTCGTGAGCAACTTGGGGGGGGGTCGCAGTATTACAAAGTTTGAGAACCCCTGGATTACACTATTACATCCCTGCCCAGGGGGACTATAAAATAGTTGACTAATCACTAAAAATTCATGCGGTTAGTTAGTTATTGGGTAATAGAATAGTCAACATCCCTAATTATGACCAGAGAAGCAGCTGCGAAGCTATATTGCAAGCCAGGTCCCAAGCCACAGCAGACACACAGGCCTGGGGCTCTGTTCAGGTAGCCACCCAAAGCTCATCATCTCCAGCAATCTGTGAATCCCTCTGTGCACTGGCACATGGGGAGTTTTCTTCATTCACAGTAAAATGGAAAACCCTTACTCTTGGCTGCCTGTGTTGGTTCTGCTTTGAGCAACAGAAGAGTTTCAGTCTCTAGTGCTATTGAACTGCCGCTCTTCACCAGCTCGAACCTCATTCCAAAAAAATCGAAGGTGCCTTAGAGGTTTCGCCATGGACTTCAGCATCGTCTTTGTTAAAATAAGAACAAATCCCCCACTTGGCGGGATGGATCCGGCCCATGGAGGCCCTTTTGCCCACCCCATGCTAGAAAATGAGAATGCTCTACAGGTGGGCACAGCCATCATGAAGAGAGACACAGCCATTCTCTACTGCTCTCTGATCTCACAGGAGGACAGTCAAGTCCAATGTATCTTAATGTGCATGAATAACATTCCCCAAAGCACTCAGACTTTTTCACCTGGGCAGAAAAAAAAACTGTAGGGTCCTTGGTGTCTCCCCCCCACACACACACTATCTAGGCGCTGTAATCAGCCCTCAAACCCCAACCCAGATCACAGATTTTTTTTTATTTTTTTTTTAAATTTTTTTTTAAAAACACACCACTTTCCAGAGGTTAAGTTTTATTAGGCTTACCGTCAGCAGGCTGCTGAAAATTTATGTAGGCATAACCGAGCGATCGACGTGTGGCAACATCCCGACAAACTCTGATAGACATGATCGGTCCAGCAGGGGAGAACTTCTCATACAACATGGCTTCGGTCACATCTGGGTGCAGATCTCCCACGTACAAAGAAGCTAATGGATATCCAGGGCCACTTGCATTCATGGTCAACCACAAAGCTTAAAACTTTAAAGTGAAGCAAGACCTGGTTACTTGCTGTGGCACAAAGGATGTTTTTGTGCCAAGATAACAGAATATGGACTTTGATCACATGCAGCAACCACCAATTAGAGTCTCACACCAAACTCCAGTTGCCTAGGAAGAAGTTAGCTGCAAAGCACAGACTAGAATCCAGAATCCATTAATTCTTGCAAGTTACATCTGAACTGAACTGCAACAGCCCTCCAGGTATACCACAGAGCCGGTATTTTCAACAAGGCTTTGCTCTCACTTATACTGAGATGAAAATCATGAATGATTAATGTACATTCCCAGAACTGTCCCCCATATCAAGCAAACTGTACAGACAACTGGATACTCAGCTGGGTGGCTGTTCATGATTGAGACACATCAAATGGAATTTCATTCCACAGTAAGCATAACCACCCAAGTGCATTTATATTATAATTCCTTATGGTTTCCTTCTTCAGAAGGAAGAGAAAATCCAAAGACATTTTGCCTCAAAAGACATTTCCTATAAAGTCACTGCCATTCATAGTATGACATCATAGCTTTCAGTATGACTATATAGTGTACCATTCCAGAGAGACAACACACTGTAAAATGAATGACGCCGAAGTCTCTACAAGAGTGTATTGGGAGCCACTTTTGTGTGCTTGTTTTGTCAGGATACAGGACAGACACGCGCTCCGTGGAAGTCTGGCAAATGCCCTCTTCAGGGTTTGGTGGGGAAGGGGGAATAGGGCAAAGTGGCAGGACTTACAAGTCAAGATGCTGAGGCTCTGTTCTGAACTCTGCCCAAGTCTGTACACTCTCTGAACTTCTCCTGCTGTAACACAGAGGTGACTAACACCGCCCTATGCAAGAGGGATCTGTGACGGGGCACTCGCGCCCCGCACTGAGAGCGTGCCGGGAGGCGCCGGGCGGGGTGACGGGGCACTCGCGCCCCGCACGGAGAGCGCGCCGGGAGGCGCCGGGCGGCGGGG